TCTGATTTTGCTACTCTGAGGTGTTTTAGCATATGCAGTCAATATGTTCGAACTGAGAAAATGTCAAAATTAAAGGAACTAAAAACAGCCACATGTGATCTTCAGAGCTCCATTAGTTCGGACTAGAGGGTCTTTCTTTTCATGCTTCTCACCAGCCATCCATACAGGAGACATAAGAACCAGCCCGATTAACACCTTCCCAAAACCTCAGGACTAGGCATCCACACTCTGACTCCTCTCCTGCTAAATCAGCCTCCAGGGTGTTGGCCAAGATCTGGGACCACAAACTGCCTCTTCTCTGACCTCTAGCAGGAAGATTTATGCTGTGGGTGTCCAGTGAAAGAGCAGACCTGCACACGGGCACTGACTGGGTTTGCTACCACATGAGAATTGCTGTTTACTGAGGCTGGCCTGATGTAGTTTATTTAGCATCTCCAGCACTGTTTAAAATAAGCACATATGCAGATGAAATGATCCCCTTTCCCCAAGACATATTTAAAAAAAAATTTCTATCCAGAATTTGTGAAAGAGGATGGGAGATTTATGAACTCTCTGAAGTGGAAGTACTCCACAGAGACAAAATTATGTGGGAAAGGGGAATCAATTTTTACTAACCTCTCTTCCACTGTCATGCTACTTTGTAATTTTCAGTGCAACCTCTGATATCAGATGCACTCTCAAGAGTCATGGGAATTGTCAGTGCAAGTATATTTAGCCATATCCCTTTGGGTAGGTGGGGGAGGAAAGAGACCCCTAAATAGCTGTAAGATAACAATTACTGCAAGCATATTTGCTTAGAGAAAGTTTAGTCAGAGTTCAGAGAAAAGACAAGCCCTTGGCAGCTGGATGGCCACTGGCCAGCTGCTTCTTGAGCTGTCCCTACAAACCCTTACTCGGTGAGGAGCATGCTCAGAAGAGAAACCCCTCTGCTTTCCTTAGGTCTGCTCCACGTGCTCTAAGCACTCCTCGGTGTAAAAGAAAAGCTCAAAGAAGTGGCAAACTATCAAGAATTCTCTCTCCTCTTTAAAAAAAATTGAATCCAAGCCCTCCTTGATACAAAGTGTCTTTTACATGGGGGGGGGAGAATTCCCACTATTCACAATATTGCAAAAGAATCAAAAAAATTCACAGCACTTTAACAGACAAATGAAAGCCATGATATTTTCACTTAACTGAAATGTTAGTGGGAGTGGGGCGAAGCCTCCCCCCACAACTGCAGGAGAAAACTGTGGGACTTCGGCTGGAAAAGTAGCAAGGAGAGAATGTGAATGCTGTTAAAACTAAAACTTACCAGATGACAATGGAATTGTGAGAATGTTATCTGGTTCAACAGGAGTGTGAAAACAAATAGGCATTTCAAGAAGAGGGTCACTAGCAAGGTAAATAACTTCCAAACAGCAGGAAGTGACCAAGGAGACGTGCCAAGCTGATGGCAACAGAGCTCTCCTCAACAGCGGTGGCCACAGATTACAGGGTCACCGATGTGTGGTGCCACCACTCTTCATCCAGCTGTGTAGGACTGCACCCACCTGCCACAGCCCTGGCCACGGTAAGCCGCAAGATGGAAAAGATTTGCACAGGACAACGTTTAACATGACCCAGTGTTTATTGACTCCTGCCGCGGATCCTTTTTTAATAATAACAGGAACACAAAATGTGATGTATGGTAAAATACTACTAAGGATTTCTATATCAATCCGATGCAAAGTGCCAGCATTGTTGACCAGCATACAACCTGACAAGAGAAGATGTAGTCATAACTCACTCTCAGATATCTGCTGGGAAGTACAGCACAGTCAAAGTAGAACTAGTTATTTGCCTGCAAATAGAAACATTTTCTTCTACATGCAGGTGGTGTTAAGAGTCAGCTATTTTGCAACAACAAATACATATAATATATTCCAACATTTTAAAAAATGCAATAGAAAAGAACTAAAACTGTTCAGAGAGAGAAGGAAAAAAGAGTGGATCTTTTTAGACTCTACTTTGCAGAGGCCTTTCATCATAGAATCAGAAGTAAGCTAAAGAAAATAAGATTTATTAGAAGCTACTTTGCTCAAAAGGCCAGTGGTTACAGTTTTCAGAATAAAAAGTGCCTCTTGATTTTCAGTATTGTTTCCTGGCCTTTTTCCTCCCTGAACAACAAAAAACACCTGTTGGAAATTGTGGCTTGGGGGCTTTGCAGCTCTGCATATTTTTCCAATGCAATTGCATTTAGAAAGGCAACCATATTTCTTATAGACTCATGAAAAGCTTGCATGACATGCGCACGTGACATGTAACATCTTCACAGACATGAATGATGAAGGCACCTTACCTAAAGGTTGAAAAACCCAATAAAACTTTCAGAGGACGAAAAATTAAATGCCTTAGAGAAAACACTTTTTCACAACTGGGCAAGACAAGTGCTGTTTAGCCATAGATGTTTTAAACAGTTTGCCATGAAGACAAAACACAAGGAAAGAAAGGAGTCTCCTTGAAATGCCCTCTCTACTGCAGCAGCCTGCTTCCCCCATGGTTCTTCAGACAACTTCATTCTTGCAGAGCAGTTTGCCACAAGTCCAGAGACAGGCAAGAGAAATCTGCGCAGAAAACATCAAGCCTGTGGATTCCTATGTGACCAACAGCCCCCACAAACACCCCAATTAAGCTACAGCATCTTCAAGGAGATTATACCACTGATCTGGAAATGGGGTAAAGGTCTGGAACAGAGGACTGAGGAATTGGTTTCAAAATCCTCTGCCCTCTGATTTTTTGTACTTAATTATATATGTTAATAAAGAAAAAGACAATGCACTCTGCCACAGAATAACTGCTCTCTCCTCTACATAGATCAGGAAGATACTGGCTGAAAATGAAAATATGTACTTGATTTACAATAAATGCATCTACACTGCTCCATCCACCACACATATGCTGCTGACCACTGCTGAAACCAGGTGGTGGCAACAGTGGTAACTGAAGTACCTTTCTTTTTCAACCTCTATACAAAGCCTTTCCCCTTCCACCTCATTGTTCTCCCACTGTTCTAGACTCCAGTGAGATGTGTACTAACATCTTTCTAGTGCATTTTTTTTGAGGTTACAGTTTCTAAAGGCAAAGCAAGTCTTGTTCTGCTCTGTTTAAGCTGTCTTTCTCCCCTTTAAAATCATGCAGAAGTTTCAAATTTACATGCCATTATCAACTTTGCATAGCAATATAATAGGTTGGGTTCCTCCCCCTCCTTTTTAAATAATAATCTTGTTCCCCCCCCTTTTTTTAACACCTACCGTCTTTCAAAGGGTTACCTCTCACTCTCAGCCCTAGCTTTTTCTCCTCCCACATGAACATTGCAGAATGAGAAGTTCAAGCTAGTGTTACGTTTACTTCAAGTCTCTGTTGTGCTACTTAGCTACTTAGAAGCAACTGTAGAGGAATAATGTTTTTCCTGACATTAAAGGGCATTTATCAGATTATTTGTCTTTCTCTAGTCTTGAGTTATAAGAATATTTGTCACACAAGTTCCATCATACTCCTCTCTTAGGTGCAGAGTGGTCAGGCTGAACAAAGTCCAGCCCATAAGGCCATAGCCGGATCTCTGGGAGAAGTCGGCAAGAACGAGGGGTTTCTTAGCACTACTGTATTTACATTCAGAATTCAAGGACAGGCTGAAGGATGCCCAGCTTTTTTTTTTTTTTTTTAAGAGATAGGACTGCTTAAAAAAATACTCCATTTCTATGACCATTTTTTATGTCATGAAAGTTATTTCTTTTCTGTCCTATGCAGCTGTCACCCTTCTGTCACTGATGTTTAACAGTTGCCATTGCACATTACCTTTTCACTCCCAGCTCAAGCACGACAGAGCTGGCCCACAGACCCACCACTGGCACGACAGCCCGGCACGGCGTGGCAAACCAGCGTGGGGGCCAGTGGTTTAGACAGACCCCGTCACCACTGTGGGCAGGCGGCACGGGAAGATACTGGACACCGAAGAGGGCATCTATTCAGAGCATTAGTAGGGTCTGACATACACACTGACAACATGAGACGAAAATGAATGCAGGTGAGTGTATTAGGTTGAGAACAATTAGTGTGAGTGATAAATACATCCACCGCCAGCCCCCAGCTTCATTAAGAGTTATTCTGAACTGCATAGTAAGGGCTGGTTGCAGAAGCTTAGGCAGATTGAAGATAGCTCACCAGTTACTCATTGAGTCTAATAAGTTTGAAAAAAATAATGGAGAAAAGAATACGTGCTTTGCCCTTTGAACAACTCTGATCTCATGGCTTGGGCACAACAGAAGTAGTTACCTTGCATAACAGATCAACTGAAACAGAATCGCTGTTTCATTCAAATTACATACGCATGCAAAGTTAAACAAGTGTGTTAACTAAGGATAAGCAGCACAGAAATCAAGTCTAAGTTACTCATTGTTTATCATACATTTGTCAGACTGCCAGACATATCTTTTCCTCTCAGATTCATATCTATGTCATACAACACATAGTAGATGGAGAAGTCATGAAAATAACACTTAACTCTACGTATCATTAGCCATTAGTGCCAATGCGTTATGTGCCTTCAGCCTTCCAAGTTTACCAAACTTTTGGGAGAAAACAGCTACTTTACCAAACCACAAAAACAGAAAACGTACAACCCATCCCGCTCAGAACAGAAAGGAAATGGTTTTACAGAGTTGTGGACAGACACATAACTACTTTCCCCTCAGTCCCGGGACAGAAAGGGCAGTGCAACTGCATAGCTAGAGCTTGACTCTTGAAAAGCAAACAAAATCCAGGCAATGCAATGACTGTGTAGACAAAAATCTGTTTGGAAAGTCATGCTGTCAAACAGTTGAGCCAATGTTCCGCGTAGCAAAGTGATGAACAGTACATCGACAGGCCCATGTGGGACAGACCATAAGATGACACTCTACAAAAATACAGTTTAACTTCACATTTCCATTATCTCTCCTTGCCCCTTAGGAGTCTGTCACAGATTCTAAACTTGTAAAGCTCCATAAAGTGCAAATAAGACTCAGGTTTTTACCACTAGTTCCAATGATCATTATCTTGGTTACAAGAGTGATCAAAAGCCAGTTGGCTGAGCCACTACCACTAGGCTTGTGATACCTTTTTTTTTTTTTAAACCCTGGTTACTTTTTCCAGCAAAAGGCAAATAGAAAACAAGCGTTCCTTCTGCCAGATGCAGGTGTGACAGGAGGCTTCCTTAAGTACCATCAATATAAGATGCACATGCTAGACACAACCAGTGCGTTCTTGTGCATAACATGAATTTGCCCTTGTTCGCTGGAAATGGAAGTCATCTTTGGGATCTTATTTCCTCACAAAGAGTTCGGGAACAGTTGACTAGTCTTCATTAAGAGGTGCTTCTCTCTTCCTTGCATCTACATCAAAAAGATGAAAAAAGGAGAGGCAGTTAAGCCAGAGGGTTCTGAAAGTATTCATCTGAAAACTCAGAAACAGAATAAAGTGCTTTGGTTTCAATGGGCAGCACTTTCTGTTTCACACTCCTGACATAAATTCACTGCATGGACTGAAATGCTGTATGAATCCACAGCATGTTAATGAGATAGTCATACCAAGGTTTTGTATGTTTGCCCTGTTGAAACTGAAGACAACTCATGCAGTATTTAAGTAGCCAAAAAAAACTTTCAGGCTCCTGATCTGTGATACATTTCCCCCTGGCTCTTGCTCAGAATCCCCTTTAAGGGTGAAGCCAGTATTTGCTGTGCATACCAGCTACATAGACGACAACAGTCTGTTCTGGAAAGCATTTGACTAATTATGATTTTGCTGGTCCCCAGCTACATGCAGACATTTTAAAAAAGAGCAATGCTCTCCACACTGTATTTTGAGAAACGGCCTGAGGCACTCCCTGAAGACACAGCGAACCTCTGAGCATGGCCCCAGGTAGGGTCTTGAAGCACATCTGGAGAACTCTGTCCATTACTCATATTCCATTACAACTGCAGCAGGCAGCATGGCTGCTGTTAGGAAAGTTGGGCTCACCTCTTCCCGGGCTGCTGCAGAAGTGTTTCTGGGCTGACATTACGCTATCTGTGAGACCCAGCTGAATGCAGGTAGCACTTGAAATGCACCATGATCACAGCTGCCCTAGCAAACTGCCTGCCAAAAGATACACTGGCATATATTTCTAAATTTAGTTTTTCCAATTCATCATCTATACATTCCATGGTCATTATGAATATCCCCATTCAGAAATTACTTGTAAATTGAAGACAAATCCTTTTTGCATTACTGCAGGCCCCAACTGCCCTTCATTAATACAGAAGACAGGCCCTATTTGGCCAGAACATTTAGAGAACATGATTATCAAACTGTTTATAAGTCTCATGGCTTTGTGCTAAACAAAGTTTGGAGAAGACAAAATACACTTCCCATATAACAAAAGAAGAGCTTAGAGACTTCCCAGTGACTGGAGCAGCCACCTGGGGTGGGAAAAAAATCTCAGCAGCCATTCTGGAGAGAAATCAGAAACGGCCTCTCCCATGTTCCCCATCACACTCATCAGGGATACTGAAGCCAGGCCTGAATCTTCTTCTGTCACAACTTCTCCACTTCACATAAAATAACTGACTAGCGATTAGAGCTGAAAAAGCTTTCTAAAATTTAATGTCAAACCCATCTAGCTACAGAGTTATTCCCAGTCTGTCTCTGACTTTGGCAATATCCAACTGCATTAAATTCTTTCTGGTGAACACTTATAAAAGAGTCATACCTGTTAAGTTCCTGAACTTTTTTTTGGCTTCTGCTCTTTCTTCAGCATCAAAATACCATACAGTCATGGCATATCTGCAAAGGAAAGAAATCTTGTGTTTGTTTCAACTTTCACTATTAAAATAAAGCCCTGGACTTTTACACTCATAGAGAAAGCAAAGAACCAAAACTGGATTAGTAGACAAAAAAATAGCATGCAAACAGCACATCTTTCTAGACAAATATAGGCAGCATTTAAAATGTGTATTTTATCAAGTAAGATAGAAATATAGGTGAGAATTTCTGCTTGGAGGCACAAGAATGCACAGCCCCTGGCAAGCGAGGGCAAAAGTAGCTTACAGACCTTTGCATGTTTTTGTGTTCTGGGATGCCTGCAGGCAGCTTGGGGGGTGCCCTGCATCACATCAGCTTTTCCTAGCCTGTTGACAGATGGTAGCCCCAAGAATCCCTATAGTGTTACAAGGGCAAAAGTATAACCCAGCATCTCCCAGCTAAATCGCTACGCCTGGCTTGGAATATCTTTCCTGTCGATGGCAGAAGGGCTTTTTTTTTTCCAATGACACAAGGAATCTTTTCATTCAAGCTTGTCCTTCCTCATTTGATGAGAGAAATCTCAGTGACTCAAAAATATAAAATCCACTCAAAATCTAGCTATTTTTTTATGCACATGTATATTTAAACTAGCACGTGATGGTCATAATTTTAGATGCAAATACTGGTAAAAGAGATGCTTTGCTTTTTCATGGCCAAATATCAGTACCAAATACGCTATTTACCTGGTTGCATAAGAAGGCTGGACTTCATGTGGGTTCCTTCGATCTGACCAAAAAAAAAGTAATCGGTCAAAAATTGGCTCAACATCTGCTACATAGGACTTTCCTTCTGGGAATATCCGAAGAATACCGCCATGCAGCTGAAAGAAAAGGAAAGGTTGCTTTTTACACATATAAACACCCACACATTCATATGAACAACGACTGACTTCTCTTTCCTCAACACCCAGTGAATGGGGAATAAACATGTGATGATAACCAAGACAGCTACATGACAACAATGGAAAACAGAACACTCAATCTCTTGGCCACCTTGATTTTTCCAAACAGTTTGTAATGTTTCAGCACAAACATCTGGCTAAAGTAAATGAGCCAAGATAAAGACAACATTGGCCCTGTAACAAACACTGGGAAACTTCTGAGCTCCCAGTCGTATCTCCAGAACCAGTGAACACCACAAGGCAGGTAAGGGTGCTCCACCTGACCAGTCTGAGGTCAGACTCTACTCCTGACAATTGCTGGGTACTGCTTATGGTATTTCCAAGCCTGCATCTGATCATATAGGAGTTGACTTTCACACCCTGCGAACAGTGAAGACTGTTCTATTGTTGATAAACGCCTCATAAATGAATTATATCTCCCAGCCAGTCTTTTCCCTACTTCTGACACAGCTGAGTTGCTTCACCACATCATTTCTGTCTTTCCACATGCCACCAGTTTCAAGAAAAAAGTCTTGTGATCTGCACACACTGCAGAAACTTCAAAAGACACAAATGAGCTCTGCCTCCTCCCTGCTACTGTTAGAGCGCACTTTGGAGGCTTTTATGCTGCACCAGAGCGCAAGGAAGATGTTGTCAGCCCCACCCTGACCTGACTTAGTACCTCCACGTGGCATGCAAACCTCAGTAAGAAACTATTAGGTCAGGTTTAAAGTAATACTGTTGCTTTCAAAGGCCAGCATGGTTATACTGCCTCTCGTCCAGCATACATTTGCATAAAATTACCTTCACACCCACGTAATACTCTTCACCAGTCCCCTGAATTTCAATTAGCTTTCTTAGTGTCCACTTGGGTGCTTCCTCACTGTTAGAATAAGAGTGCAATGCACAAAATAAATCAGATATTTGCATGCATTTCCTCCCACATCTCCTCCTTCAATTTATTGCATTGAGATGTTTCACTGTCATACTCTGTAAAGGAACCCGTGGTTTCCCCCAACAGTGCATTTTTCAGTGGCATTGCCTGCAAATCTGAGCTCACTTTTGGGGGTTCATAGTATCTACATGTGCTTAAAGAGCATCCATCTAAAGCGGTCAAGACAGATTAGACAGACAAAAAACATTGTGCAATTTTCAACAGATAATCCATTTCAATGGTTCATGCCACGTTATGACAACAGAAGTGTAAAGAGACATCCTGCAATTTTACAAATGCTTATTCTATTTCTAACTTAAAAATATGGTAAATTCAAGGCTAACTTCATTGCCTTATAGTAACACAGGCAAAAACAAGAGCACCGCCCTGTCAAGAGACCCATTGGCAGAGTCAAAGATCGAGAGGACAAACCAAGACATGTGCTTGTTCCTCTTACTAAGTCTCATCACTTCATAAATAAGAAAACCACAAAGGCAACTGCCTGAAGATCTTCTGCAAGTTAGCCTGAAGGAACAGTATCAAGAATGCTAAAGTCCCAAATTTGGGCTGTCATTTTATTCTCCTCCCAGAACCCACTTATTACTTAGTGAATTATGTTTTTCTTTCTAGTGCTTCATTGCTCTTTCCTCTAAACGAAGCATAAGAGCCAGCAGCCCAGTGCTTAGAAGCTTTTTTTCTATAGCAACAAAACAGTACGTGTGTGGGATGGAAGAAAGAATAAGGAAGAAGTTCAGATTCTTACTTCCAAAGGGTTGCTGTGAACACCAAGAAAATAAACATAGAGACGAAGAATGGACCAGCTGTTAAAAAGTTCACCAGAGTTCACAGAAGCAATTGACAGCTCCAAAGCTCTGTTTCTGAAGTACTTTTTCGTTCATGTTCTGCCTCAACCCCATGGCTTACTCACCTTGGAGTCCCAGTTCTTATTCAGATAATAAATACAAGTGATGCAGCGCCCGTCGCCGTTTGGATTGTCCACATGACGAACATACCCAGTTCCATTTCCAGGATAGCAAGCGATCATAGCCTGAATGAGACAGAGATCGTAAAAAAGTAAGTTCTACAAGATGCCCACCTTCCGTTTTTCTTTGCTAAGCATCCTCCCACCATCAGTTTCGCTCAACATTTTTCAGATGATCAATCCAAAACCTACAGCAGACACCATCAGAAGGTATCTTTGCACAAGCTTCTTTAACTGGGTGAGAGTGTGAAATTCCAAAATGGAAATAAATACCCTTCATATTTCACAATGTACACACTAAGGTACGAGAAAAAAACCTGAATTAATCTAGAACACTGGTATGTACGGTACAAGCTTATTGTCCTCTACTAGCTACGTGACTTTGAGGCAGTTTCAACTACAGTTTACTTGTGTTTCTAAAGCTGAGTAGTCATTGCAAAACTGATTTGGCAGTCAAAATGAAAGTAGAAGGTGATCCTAGGATGTCATGCCTTACTACCACCATCTTCCTTTCTTCATATCTTCCAGCCCCTGTCAGACACATCCCTATGGTCCAACACAAATTCAGGGTCCCCAGGAGGTGTGGATAAGAGTCCATAGCACAAACTGCAAAAATCTCCAACTCCTTTGTGCTGTGTTTGCACAGGGCAGTGCATGTTTGCTTTCATGGACTGAGCCACAGAACTAACCAAACAGCTTTCAGAAGCATACTTCTTTCTTTGATCATCTCCAGACTTGATGACACAATCGCTTAATTCACAGTTTGTTTAAATTTCACCTTCAATGATGAGATAAGCCTAACATGAATTACTCCAAACCACACAACAGTCAACAGGTCTTAAAAGGGCTTTTACAATAAGAATGTATTAAACTTGAGTTGTCACCATTAGCAGCCCAAGCAGGATGCAGGAAAGAGCAGATGAGACTGCTGGTAGGGTACCAGATCTTTGTCTCAGAGTCACTTCACTATTGAGACTACTTGGTAGTGCTACCAGTCACCTTCCATGGAGTTCACTCCACTACAGCTGTGGCAACAGAAGTCTTGTTCCCACTCCTCTGACATCTCCTTTCATTGCTTGCCAGTATTAGCAGCAAGAGCAATGGGAGATAACGGGCTAAGATTGGTTGGAAAACTGGACACAGTGTCCAGGTGTGGTCCCCCTGGGGCTGAGGAAAGGGCGATAATTTCTCCCCTCAATCTACTGACTGTGCTCCTGTGACTATTGCCCTGGATGCTGTTGTGCAGGGAGCATGCCACAGGCTTACGTTCAGCTCACTGCCCACCAAGACCATTAGGATCCCCAGGCTTCCCTGTGGAGCAGCTCTGCTGCCTTGCAGCCCCCAGCCTGTACTGCTGCAAGTGGATCTTCCTTCCCAGGGGCTGGACTTCACATTTGTCCGTGTTTAATTTCACAAAGGTTGCTGCTGGCCTGTTTCTCCAGCCCATCTGGGTCCCTTCGGTGGCAGCCCTGTCCTAGAGTGCATCAACTGGTCCCGCTCCGTTTGGTGTCATCGCCACACTTGATGCGAGCGCACTGTGCCATCTGCTTCGGGTTACTGACAAAGGCGGTTAACAGGTCAGGTCCTGTGATAGACCCCCACGGTGTTCCTCTAGGTGTAGTGCGACTCTTTAACCACCACCCTCCAAGCCCAGCCATCCAAACAGTTTTTTACCCATTTAGTTTTCCATCCATCCAAACAATCACATCCGAACTCTGGATACAAGAGTACTGTACGTGCCTAGCCCATAGAATGAGGATGTGACTGTGCACCACTTGCATGGCCTGCTCCTAATAATCTGCCAAGCACAGTTGATAGCACTGAAGATTGACTGTATGGGCTGTACCAAGAGCAACTGAAATTTTTATCTAGAGACCCCGGAGGTCTTGTTTTCTGCTAAAGCTATGATGTCCTCTTGAGACACATGACTGGCTGGAGCATAGCACACGCTGCTTTAATCACAAAGGTGATTTTACTGTGCCAACAAACACTGGCACAGAAGTTACCGCCAGCCAGCGCAGTGGATCCCTTGGACTCTCTGCTACCAAGAACAAAAGTCTATTCCAGTTAGGATAGCTGTACACATACAGCTGTGAAAATACTGCTCTGCATCTCCAGTCCTGTGCGAGTTGATTTCCTTCCTCCCCACAAGCACCAGCAAATGGTACCTGCAGGCAGCAGTACGTCATCAGAGCCCGCTCCTCACCCTGACCCCCAGGCTACAGCTGCTTCGGGGCTGGTGGCCCACCAGGGCAGGAGATTATGCTGAACAAGAGTAAGTACCTTTAATTCCCAGTAACAAGCCCTCTTCCATCAAGCCTGGCAGTCGGCTAGATGCCTTGCTGTAGGTCCTGTCTGCTCTGCTGTCATTCTGCTGTTACAAACAGCTCCGCAGCTGAGCTTACATTTCACTAGCAGCCTGATAACAGCAGTAAGGGCCAGTCCACAGCCTAGCACTGGATACAAGCCTGGCTTAGGGGCACAAGCCTGGTGGAAACCACAAGCCAGCTGTAACTGCAATGTAGAGACGGTCCAAGGGAGCTGTACCCTGACTGGGGAGGATACCCCCTTCGTGCATTCCCCCATCCCAGCTGCTAGCACAGCAGCTCACGCAGGTGCACCCTTCACCCACCCCAGGCACAGTGAGCTGGATTAGGTTACGTAACCCTTTGCTAAGCCTCACCCTCGTACGCTGGGGAACACGACCCGAGGAGCTGAGAGCCCAGAGCAGAGCGGGCAGTGATGCCAGCCGAGGGGCAGGGCGGGGGCTGCTCGTCCCCGCAGCCCGCACCGCTGCTGCCCAGAGTATGCGCACCCCGCAGCCAGCTCTGCTCACCATGCCAGAGGGGTGATGCACGGCTGGAACAAAGCTTTGTGGACAGACACCACCTCCTTTGTAAGTCGATGTACAGCACAAACTTATGGAGGCCTCAAAGAAGCCTCTCTTTGGAGAGCAGACATTACTCCAAGACTACCGAACTGCCTAAAAATCAATCCAATATTACTCCTATTTTTTAATGTCACAATCAAAAAGCTGCTGAAGAATAACAGACTGCGGGCCAGATCCTTAAAGGGATTTAGGTGCTTTACTTACTACCAAGACACTGGCAGAAGGCCAGAGCTCTCCCCACCCCCCTGTAATGCGTTCTCTTAGCAGAACACGTGCTTTGCTCCAAGACATTGGTGCATTATTTATTTATTTGCAGCATGCACCTTTTGCAACCGCAACACACAGAGTCCCTGGGGACGAAGAAGTAGAACAATTCCCACAGAACCCAAAAGCACTGGCCCCACTCTAGCTTAACTTTAATCAAAGAGGAAAATAAAAAAAATAGTTTTCTAGTAGCAGCAGTGAAGCGAGAAAAGCAGAAGTGAAATATCCTTTTTCCTGGCATGGCGAGTATTTGAATGAAACCTTAAACAATGAAGGGAAATCATTCTGGTCCTCCTAGAGCCTGTTGAAACGATACCAGGCTTTATCAGAGCGCCGGCTGGATCAGCTCCAGCGCAGATCAAGCTGGCCTCAGCAGGGATTCCAGCTGTTAGCACAACTTTTGGATTCATTCAAAGCAAACAAGAAACAGGAGATGAGATGCGTGACCCAGACTTAATTTAGGTAATTGGTGAACACTGGTATTTGCCAGTTTACTGCACGGGCTAGCTACAAAAGCTGGAGGCTGGATCATAATAATCAAACCATTTACCAGGTGAACAAGTGGAGTGTTAAAAAAAAAAAAAAACAAAAAATCCTACATTTTTTTGGCTATTGTGTCCAGAAAAGCAGACTCCTTTTTTGGAATTATCTCCCTTCGTTAACCAACTCCAAACCTAAACTAACTATAGTAGGTAGTAACGATCAGGAATGTACCTAACTTTTTTTTTTTTACAATACAATCCATTACAATGGCTGTTAGTTAGCTTAACTTCCAAGTGTAAGCACTCAGAGCAAACTTAAGCAACACAACACCCTCCTCCTTATTTTAAGTTAAAATAGACAAGTTTGTCTTAACATCTGAATGGTTAAAAACTCTGATATACAGATGCGTGCCTTTTCAGTCGCACACACACACGCCACAGTTTGAAGACCAATGCTCTGGTGGTCCAGTCGACAGTCATAAATTAAACCCTGCAAAACTTGGAAAATGAAAAACAAATCGTCAACACTGCAGTTTCCGCACTGTCGTTTTCAGAGATGTTAGGTTTCCCAAGAGGGTGCAAATCAACCACCAGTTAAAACAAGCAGTAATTACCAGCTTTAGTAAGGAGCCAGGAATCATCAGTAATCTCCGAGCTGCACAGAAGCTTCAAGAAATAAGTTACTCATCATTCAGTTTTTAAGAATTACACTTGAGTCAGCCAGAGAAATCTGCAAGTCAAACTGCAAGGCACCAGAAAAGTTTGGAGGCAGATAAAAAACAACGGTTCCATAGAGAGGATTTTTCCCTGCCTCCCAGTGCTTCTAGCAAGGGGAAAAACAAATTCTCTCAGCTGACAGCCAGGACCATGCTGTGAGGCATCATTCTGCTACATTTCATAAAGTAAGCAGTGCTGGAGTGGACAGACACTTGGAACAAAATGCTTCAGAGAATACCTCAACTAGAAGATGCTCGTAAGTGGAAGTGAACGCTGCCTAATAGGAAGCAGTGATGACAGCAGGTCAGAAGGAGATGTCCTCCACGCCTGTTAGCACTAAGCCAGGGCCCCAGCGTACTCCTAGAGCAGACTGTATAGGTGGTATTGTAACCCTATACTGATCCCATATTTTACTCTCAGACATCGTATGACCTTTGCAACCAGCAGAGAAAATTCTGACCTGGGTAACTATCCGGCCAACACCAACCGCCCTTGCAGATTAAGCTAAAGATTCTGCAATACGTTTTTCCATTTTCTGTACCAGATTTGTCCTGTATATTTTTGAACAGCGGCTACTTTTGATCCCTAACATAGATGTACAGCTTGTACATCAAATAGTTAAATTCAGAAATTACTTCTAAAGTCTGTGAGATGAAAGGTACTATATAGACACAAAGCAGTACTGATCTACAATATCAGTAGGATGGTTGT